GGGGAAGACGAAAAATGTTGTACAGGCCCTTATGGAGGGGAAATGTTCAAAATTGAATAAAAGTGTCAAAAGAACGGGGGAATTTGTTCAAATTCCCCTTAAAACCAACTGACACAATTACCAATCGAACACACGTCAAATCCAACTCACACGGCAAAAAAAAATTTCTACCCAAAAATTCAGTTTTTCGACTTTTTCCCCCCACAATTTTCCCAAAAATATTGCGATTTTCCGGTCGGAAAATGCATCTGGCATTCCCATAAAGCGTGAAAATTCAAAATATTTGCAGCCTAAAAGACGCGCTTCACGGACGAAACACTGGACTACCTGGTCTGACGTCATTAGTCTTATAGACTCCATCACTGCGGCCTTGTTGCTATGGGAAAATCCCTGAAAATTACCCGATTGATGCGCGGCAAACAGTCCAGAATGGAGAACATCAGCTTGGCGTTTCCCTCGGGATCATCGGGAAGACACACGCCCAAAGCGTCCACCATCATCTGGTAGAGACACTTGGTGAAAAGCGGCTCGGGCAGTTCCCTCAAGTAGTCCTTCAGGACGCCGGTGATGACGTTGATGTCCGGGACGTTGTCCGGGCTGAGGTCCACCGAGCGACTGTTGCGCTCAAAGGCCTCGCGCAGAATGCGCTTCTTGGTCGCCGAGCCGCACAGCCGATAGAGCCCTGGGGGCGGAGCCCGCATTAACCCCGCCCACTTGCCGATGGCGGCGCAAAAATGCTCACCAATGATATCCAGGCCGCGGCGCTCCACCTCCTCGACGCAGCGCTTGACGATGATGGGGATCTGGTGGTGGGGGGCGCCGCTGCCCAACCCGGTGGCCGCACCCCCCGTCTTGCCCTCCCTGTTCACCTGCCAGCCAATCGCGTTCAGACCCAAGGGCGGGGCGAAGCCCGGGCAACTTACCACTGTTTCCAGGTCGACGCCGAACAGGGGCGTGGCTCTGGACAGCGTCATGCTGGACAGAGTGCGACGCTTGTACAGGCTGAGCGAGTCGGAGTAGCGCAGCCGCAAGTACAGTGTGCCTGGTTGGGGAGGGGGCAAACGTGAGTGAATGAGTGAGGGTTTTTGAGGAGGCCACGCGACTTACCGCGGGGCTCGATTTTGAGGGCCAGCTGATGGATGGGCCCCGATTTCAGCAGCGTGGGCAGATAGACGGAGCCCTTGTAGCACAGTTTGTGCCGATATTGCGGGTCCCACGAGTAGATCAGCAGGTCCAGCTCGCGATTGTTGACCAGGTCGAGCTCGAAGCTTTCGTCCCAGTCGAACACCAGATCGCCGGTTCTTACCTATTGAGGAGCGGCGGAGGTAAGAGGTAAGTAAGGGCAGAGCAAGCGGAGCTTACCACTGTGCGCGCCTTGTGAACGCGGTCGCATTCCAGCACGCAGTACAGGTCCCTGACGCCACTGGGGGCTGTGGATCATAGATTAACTAAGTTTAGATAGAGCGATTCACTCAGAAACGACCGAATATATTCTGGCATACTGAGAACGACTGATTTCATAGTCGCCAGAGGCGCTACAGACGATGAAAGCCACAGATTAAATCATGAAATAACCGACTGTAGGAAAATATTCTGTGGATGAATGCGATGACGCAAGTCAAATGTCAAATAAATCTTCCCCATTGTTGTTTATGGGTTTGTCATCGGGTTTGAATAGAAAATATTTCAGAGCAAAAGAAAATATTTTTTAAATAGTATTTAAATGTTATTTCAAAAATATTTGTTTCTAATATTCAATTAACATGAAGCACCTAAATTAAGAATACTTTTTCATAATACCAAAACTCTGTGTATTTATATATAACACCATTAACACCCAAAACGTTATTAATATATTATTTTTAATAAGTGTGAACAAACTTTAGAACGTATTATCTCAATTTTCATTGGCCAATTAATAATAAATATTTCAAAGCAAAAATAAATATTTCTGAAATATTAGTTAAATGTTATTTAGAAAATATTTGTTTCTAATATTTAATTAGCATGAAACAAATAAAATAATAATAGTTTTTTTTAGTACGTAATACTTTTTGTGTCTATATATGTGTAACACCACTAACACGCAAAAAGTTACTAATATCTTATTTTAATAAGTGGGAACAAACTTTAGAACATATTATAGCAAATAGGCTCGAAATTAACGCTAAGCATAACCTTGAAACTTTCTTAAATGTTTGGTACAAGTGGGCATTAAAAGCCTAACCGAGAACGATTGATTTTATAGTCGCCAGAGGCGCTACAGACGATGAAGAACCACAGATTAAATCATGAAATAACCCACTGTAGGAAAATATCCTGTGGATGAACGCGATAACGCAAGTCAAATGTCAAATAAATCTTCCCCATTGTTGTCTATGGGTTTGTCATCGGGTTTGAATAGAAAATATTTCAGAGCAAAAGAAAATATTTTTTAAATATATGTTATTTCAAAAATATTTGTTTCTAATATTTAATTAACATGAAGCGCATAAATTAAGAATACTTTTTCATAGTACCAAAACTTTGTGTATTTATATATAACACCATTAACACCCAAAACGTTATTAATAATAATATTAAATTTTGATAAAATTCGAATTATTGAAAAAACCTGTAGATTTAGACATTATAAGTCTTATTAACACAAACACTTGTTTTGCTCAGGGAATCCAAAAATGCAATAATATATAGGGTATTTCATTTAGGAAAACACAACTTTGATACTTTTAGGGCTTTTGGGACACTCTGTACAATACAAAAATATTTTTAAAATGTGCACCCGATAGGCGTCTGTGGA